AATAGAAAAATCTGAAAAGGCTGCCCGTAATAAAGAATATGGGTTATTAATGGAAAAACATTCTCGTCGTGAAAAGGTATATTAACTATTTCAATACTTGATATCAATTATTTTAAGCTTAGTACGCGCTAAACATAGTTCTATACTTGACTATGCTTGACTATACTTGATTCTTTTTAATGTGATTCAACCATATAAATAACATAAATTATTATTTCTATTTATAGACTAAACATGAAAATGAAAAAGACGGTCTTATCACATCAGAAATAAAAGTATGTCAAGTTTAATCACTAAGTTTCTTTATAAAAATTTTGACTTATGCTAATTCATTATATTAGATTTATGTCGAACATATTCGTAAACACAAAGAAATCTCGATATCATCCACCATGACGGCTCTAGATGTTTTAAATTTCTTTCGCAATAATGATGTAATATCGAATGATGATGTTTGGGCTTTATTTGAAATAGCAAACGATTTTCATATTGGTAAAAATTATTTCTTTAACTTCTTTTCTATATATGCAAATCTCTTTTTTGAAATTTCCATAACTTTTAATTATATTACTTACATTAGAACGTCCATTAAGAGATTGGGAGTGTCTATCAAAAGTCATGGGAACCTGGGAATCTGAGAAAACTAACTTATTTACTCTTAAAAAATACTCGCACAGAAGTTCATTAACATTACAGGCTAGTGTTTTCAATAGGTTGTCTATTAATAAACTTAGGGAATTGATATTTCCACATCCTTTTTTGATAATGCCACACCCATGTAGATCATTAATTTTTATAATTTTTTATACATTGATCGAAGATACCTCGGCACCCACCTGATTAAACTCAATCAACTTTTTTTTATTTTAATTATAAAAAGCTGTAGAAAAAAAGTTGATCGAATTTGATCAGATGGGTGCCGAGATATCTTCGATCAAAGTTTTTGTAAAATTCTAAACGTCTATCAAATATAAGCTGCAGCAAAAATTGTTATCAAACTTTGATCGAAGATATTTTGGCACCCACCTGACCAAATTTCGATCAACTTTTTTTTTATTTTAATCGTAATAAGCTGTAGAATTCAAAGAAAAAAAGTTGATCGAATTTGGTTATGTGGGTGTCGAGATTTCTTCGATCAAAGTTTTGTAAAATTCTAAACGTCTATCAAATATAAGCTGTGGCAAAAATTGTTTTTAAACTTTGATCGAGGATATCTTGGCATCCACCTGACCAAATTCAATCAACTTTTTTTTATTTTAATTGTAAAAAGCTGTAGAAGTCAAAAAAAAAAGCTATCTAATTTGGTCAAGTGGGTGTTGAGATATCTTCGACCAAAGTTTTTGTAAAATTCTAAACATCTATCAAATATAAGCTGGGCAAAATTTGTTTTCAAACTTTGATCAAAGATATCTTGGCACCCACCTGACCAAATTCTCTCAATTTTTTTTTTTTTTTAATTGTAAAAAGCAATAAAATTAAAAGAAAAAAGCTTGTCAAATTTGGATAGGTAGGCGTCGAGACATCTTCGATCAAAGTTAAAAAAAAATTAAATGATCTACATGAGTGTATCATTATCAAAAAAGGGTGTGGAAATATCAATTCACCTAAATTTAATATATTTTCTTTTGCATATTAAATTTATCAAAAATTTTATATTAAAATTTTTTAGGCTTTTGATAATGCTGTACCACCAATGTTTGGTTGGTTACATCTTGAAATAAAGAAAAATAAATGGAAAAAACGGTATTGTCAAGTAAAAGATGGTGCTTTATATCATAGCAAAGATACAAAGGTAAGATTATCGTTAACTCTTGACAAATTCTTAAATTCCTCTTTGGTACCTTTTAAATGGGTTTAACTCTTGTTAAATAAAATATAGGGAACAAATGAAGTTCTTCTTTGTTCAATGATATCTTTTGATGTGTATACATGTACACAATTGAGAAGAAGACAACCAACCAAATTTGGTTTTGCGTTAAAATCTCAAGATAAAATATCTTTATTTGAAAACCCAGATGATTATATTCATTTCTTGTGTGCAGATAATTCGGAGAAAAATAATGATTGGGTTTTAAGTATTAGAGCTGCAAAAGTGCGTTTCTTATTTACTATAATTATTATATGGTGAAGTCGACAGAATTCAGCCAAAAATTTTATTTTTTTTATACTAAAGGTTTAAACATGAATAACTTGATGGCAATTTAACAACTTCTGATAATAAATTCTATAAAACTTGTTAAACATAAATGATGGTTGCTATCAAAATTATTCATGCTTAAAAAAAAAATTTTTTTGCTTGAATTCTAATGACTTCTGTATTCGAATTATTCAAATCGTTTCAAATTGTTATTTAATAATTAATTTTATGTATATAGAATAATATAATACGTCAGGAGAGACCTGATCTATTTGGTGTACCCGATAAGATATCTTCGCAAGCAAGCGTTGATTCACTGTCAACAAGTATTTCACAGGCAGAGGCTAATTTCTTTTTGTTTTTTTTTATCAATTCAATTTTAACTCATTTAACTAACCGGAATATTCTTTTTTGCGACAGAAAGCTCCTAGTCCAATTATAGCGGAAACGCCATATACTCATCAATCAGGATCTAGTCAATGGGATAATTTACGTCGTCATGTGCGCAGTCCTAAAAAAACACCTCAAGGATTGGGTGAACACTCTACTAATGATTTTACACAAACAAATTCTCCTGTAATACCTGGACCATTTAAAAGTGGTTCTCTATTGAGTTATGATGAGAAAAATCTACCTATAAAACCTGTCGAAGTTGAACAGGTTACTTTTGCAAAAGGTTCTCTACTAGCTTCAAATGATACATTATTTGAACAAGCAAAAGAACGTGAAAGAATTCGTCGCGCAAATACTGGGGTCGGTATTATTAAAGATCCAAATGGAAATACATTTGTACAATTGGATGATACAGTAAAATTCAACAAAGGATCATTATTAAGTAAAAATTATAATGAGACAAATCAATCGCCCACCGGAAACTTAATACAAATAAATACAGTTCGATTCAACGAAGGTTCATTATTAGCAAAAAGCAAAGAACAATCTCCCGTTGATTTTAGTCCAACGCATAAAAATTATTTCTTACAAGCAGATGAAGGTGTTCGTTTTAATGGAGGATCATTATTAGCAAAAGAACAATCCGATAGTCATGATGGAATAAATAGAAAATTATCAGGTGGTGTTCCGTTATTAACGATTGACACACCAATAACGAGTTCTCGAAGTGTTTCACCAAAGACAACACCTATAACTGCAGGTAAAACATTACTTGAAATTGATGCTAAACCTGATACAAAACATACAATTTCTTTAAGAAATGCGAACATTCAACCATTATTAAGTTTTATCCCTGGTGAAAATCAACGTAATAATAATAATGGAAACAGTTCCACAAAATTAAGATTTGATGAATCTGAAGAAGATTCTGAAGATACTGACTATAATAGTAATGACGATGATACGTAGTGACTCAACTTGATACATTTATCATATTAAGAAAAAAAAAAAACTCATTAATTGTTAATAATTATATAATCATTTTTGTATACAATAAATGTTAAAACAATCAGATTACATTATGTAATTATATATTAAAAGACATGTAATAAAAATAATATCAATGTATTAGAATTGGCAATTTCAATTTTACTATTTTATAGTGTAAATTGATCTTTACAATTGTTCGAAACAGTAATATAATCAATCAACTCTTTATGCCGACCTACATGGTCTATAATGTATATGTCGCAAGTGGAAATGGATTTGAAATTTCCTAGTTAAATTAGGGTTAGGGTGTACATAGGGCTTTTTTTATATAAATTCCGAATCCACTTAAATTTCGTTTCCACTTACAACATATATATTGGTTACGGTGCCGTGATCACTGTTTTCTTTAAAATCCAATAATCTAGAGTTAACAGCTTTTATAAAAAAAAAAATTTATAAGAAAGATATGCCTAGTAGAGTTGGTTTTTGGACTGTCTTAAAAAGCTTTGTGCTCATTTTCGGATGTCCCTAATTCTTAAATATAAAGTCATAGCCATTCATTATGCTTAACACGGAGAATTATAATGGAACCAAATTATGATTTGCTATAATATCTGTTATATCATGAGATTTCGATATT